GAAAAAGGGACAAAAGGAAACATAGAGAGGAAAACAACAACAAAAGGATAAGAGAGAGAGAGAGAGACGAAAGATCGAACAAATAGTCTATTCTATTAAAATTTCTGTCTCTGTATAATGGATCTTATCTATGCGTTGTCTTTAAAGTTCAAGGGCCCCCTGCCTGTCTTTGCCTAGGGCCCCCAATTTCCTAGATCCACCCCTGAAAGAGAGAGATGTAAAAAGAACAGCAGAACCAGCTGATATAGAACTACATGTACAATACAGCAGGACCTTTAAACCATCAGAGAAGTAGAAGTAGAAGAGAAGTATACGTTGTTATTCAATAAGAAAAATGTAAAAATGTATAATAGGGTAGCTGAAGATAAAATTGGTGAGTATGTAAGTAACCGGTGAGTATGTACGTAACCGGATCCAATGCTCAATGCCAAAGACCCCCCCCCCCCCAAAGAGAGAAAATATATATATCCAAACAGATCTGTAAACTAAAGTAGAATCACCCCCAAAGCAGAGGATTCAGGAAGGCCACTCCATCATTAATGAGCATGCCGCATCTTTGTAATGAAGAACGGGCAAAATTTGCGTCCTATGATCTACAACTGGGATATTCAACTCTGTTTCTCCAACGTTATGCTCTCTCTGATTTTTCTCATAGTATTAATTAAATTAAATTACTGTATTACCCTTTTATTTGGCCATTTATTTAAGTCAAATCTGTGCTGGCAGGGACAAACCTAAACCATGCAAGTCACTGGGTCCTTAAGAGGACTAGGGTTGAGGACCTCTGCTCAGCAGAATTGCATATAGCAAGATAAAATTGGCATAACAGCAATTAATGGCTATGCTCAGTCTGGGAGAGTTTCACTGATGCACATAGCTGTTGCATAGCGTGGGTTGTTGATTAAAAAAATCAGGTGAAACCCAAACTAAGTCTTTGGTAATATTGATGCTAAATAATTTTCACACTGTGCAAACATATTTCAAGGCCTAATACAAAATGAGCAACACACAAGGAAAATATAGTGGACAGGGTGTTTGAACCCCAGCACACACAAACAAAACCTGCTGAAGGTCACGTATGAATCTTGGCAGAAACAAGATCTTAACTGATGACCTGTATGTAGTTTTTTGAGCCAAGAGATTTTGCCGAAAACAGGAAACATCTCTTTCCTGTTTAAGAGTCAGAGCCAAATAGACAGACATATATTTCACAAACACTCACACACACATGGTTCAGGAAGGTATAAATATACTGAGATGGGTGCGCCATATTCGGGGGAAAACTGAGATGACTGATGATGAAGCGCTGAACTTATGAAGTGTTTAAGACAGCTGTAGGAATTTGAATTGTCAATAAATGTTTCCCCAATGACCTTCCACAGTAACATCCCTCAATGATTCCTGAGTGTTTCATAGAGCTCATCCCAGAGAAGACTGAAATGCAAAATACAGATGTAGGAGTGAGCGAATGATCATTGGGTAAGTTACAGTGATCTGCTCTGTAGATAATTTGTCTTTTTCTTTCAAACAGGAAACTTTGACAGGAAATACATAAAAAAGCCTCTCTTACTGAGGCCTGTATATATGACCCAGTATCTTGCTCATATTTTCCACTGAATTAGCTGGAAATGTTGTCCTTGTCATGTAGATTTCATGGCATGTGAGTTGCTAATGAATGTGATACTTCATGTATCATCTATATAGCTAATCATTGGGCATGATTTAAAGATGTTGATTCATAGTTTTCCATTGATTTATCAGAGAAGCAATAGAAACAAATTCTTTAGCCTGTAGGTATCCAATTCAAAAGTTGTCATGATTTCGGCACTTGTGCTGCTCTGATTCACCATTCGGCACACCTGATCAGCTCAGCCCCATTCTCATCAGCCTTCTTCAATTATATTCACATTGAATTTTCTAATATTTTTTTTTTCAATTTTGGTCTTAAACATAGAGTATTCACAATGAGTCCAGAACTTATGTCAAACGACAGCATACAGGAGCAGCCATTCAAAATGGCCCTTCCCAGTCAAATGCCAGCCGAATGGAAGCCAACTTCCAGCCACTGGAGTGACCCCCTCCTTCTCTGGGGAATGCAAATTTTTTACTCTGACTCCACCCTCTCCCTGAATTACAGGGTCTGACCAGGAGAAGAGCTTCTCTTTAGATATTTATGTCCTCAAATCATGACAGAAAGAATATTTTAGTAAAAAGATTAATGTGTAAAAAGAAATCTTATGGTTCCAGCCAAGAACCAGCCAATGGCCCATCAAGGAAAGTGGGGAGATATTTGGAATTGCTACAACTGTAACTTATAAATAACACACAGTGGTGTAATGCCCATTAAATGTCACAAGTCAGTGCCCTGATAGGAGCAGCAATGTGCCTGGAGGTGTCCAGCCTGCATAAAAATATTTAATTTATCACGGTTATAACCTAGTTTACCGCTGTTTAATTATTATGAAATGAAATGAGATTTATTTAAACATGATACAAATATAAAAAAAATAAAATAGTGCACAGTAACAAGAAGTGCATAAAAAAGAAGAGAAAAATACAGATATTTGTTTCAATTAAAGGAAAATTCCGGTTTTTAACACTTTTAGCCCATTTTCTGTAGTGTCCAGGATGGATTCGAATGATCGACACCAAAATTTTGACAATTGGTCCT